ATAATAATAATAATAATAATAATAATAATAATAATAATAATAATAATAAACACTTACGACCCATCTTGGAGATATAAAGTGAACGAAGTTAACGCCAGTAAACCAAAGTAACGGGAATAGTTTCGCTTGCCTTTGATGATTTTTCCAACAATATCTAAAAATAGCGATAATTAAAAGGATAACTTGTTATCATTTTAAAAACTTTAGAATGCTAAAAATATATATAAGTTATTAAATTTACCGATCATCATTTTTCTCTCTGTCCGATTCTCTATTAACCTTTTAATCGAGGGAACCAATGGAAAAACCGAAAACCATGATATGATAGCATCGGCCAGACGATTAAACCGTGTGTTATTGCTGATCCTAATCATCAAATCACCACGTAATAAACTGTATTCTTGATACCTCGGATACTCAGCATAAGTTGGTTCGATTTGGAAATGGTTTAAAGAGAACACACCACCCAATAGATTCCCTCCATAAATAAAAACGTATCATTTGTTGTGGAACAACTGCTACCAATTTCTCTCTCTAATAGAAAATGTAATATTTTTATAAACAAAATACTTATGATAAATTGTGAAAATGAAAATAAGATATAAATAATTTTTCAAACATACATTTTAATCAATGAGAACAATGAAGAGTTTGTTTGTTCTTGCGTCTTTCCAAATGAAATCCACACGAACGGGTGTCAAAATATACCACAAATGGAAGTTTTGTAACAATGAAAATGCATCAACGTAAATGTGACCGTTCATGATTCTACACACAAAAAAAAAATCTTATAGTTAGTATAGAAAAATTTTATGTACGAAAATATACTTGCCACTATCCACCATCAATAAGAATATATATTTAAGGCCTTATGTAGATAGTACTTTAGGTCATTATTCACAGTATCTAGTTATGAGATCTCATTAAGTTTTTTATTTATGTTTAGCTTCACATGATTTTCGGTTTATGAAAATATATGTTATATTTGTATTCATTTGTTATGAGTGGAAGATAATAAATTTATCACCTATAAATATATTATCTATTTGATAATTTAGAAAGTGTTTTGTGTGAATTCAGATTCCAACCAACAAAAATCAAGATAGCGCTTTGTATATCCTTCCGTTTTAATTTTGTTTTAAGAAAAGGAAGAAAATGACAACTTGGGTACAGCCTCCCAAAGTGGAAAATAACAAATATAAAAAAATGAAAAATAGGTTGTAAAGATATCAAACACATTCAAGCTTTGCACCAACTTCATTAATGATGACTAGCCGTTTACCCGCGCCAAGCGACGGGTACAAACAATTTTTTCAGAGATAGTGCACTTCAGGAGATTATTTTATTTTCCATATGCATCAAATAGGCTTTCAATGAAAATGGAGAATGGTTTCCTTTCAACAAATGAGTGGATAGTTTCATTTCAGCAAACAAATATTAATTACTTTCCACAATATAGCCCCATATTTTGTAGTGACACCGAAGGCGGGTGGATGATCGAAAACTAATTATTACTCCTCTTTGATTTTTATCGAGAGGGAAAAGGGTTGTGTAAAATAATGATAATAATATAATTAATAGTAATTGTATATAAATATCAGCAAGTTAATAATAATTTGGTGTTGTTTAAGAATATATATATATATATATATATATATATATATATATATATATATATATATATATATATATCTTTTTCTCTTAAAAACTTTGAAGGAATGTAAAAAAAATGGAGCACAAAGGTCTGAATTTTGTTCCATTTTGTGTCATTTGAAAAATCTGGACTTTTGACGAACGTATCGGGGTCAACCAACCGATCATTATGTTTATCGAAATTTTCTATTTTAGCTAATAATAACCCCATAAGTTATATAATTTGATGAGCCTCTCTATTGATATGGAACCGCACCTATAAAACCCGAAATATTTTGGGTTTTTGTGGGTGATATATTTGGAATGATTTTCCTAGTAATCATTGTTTCCATAACCGATCAAAATTTGATAAATAATTATATACCTTTGGATCTAAAGTACATGGTAAATATTAATGCTATCAATTTTAATCTTTATTAATGTAACTTATGGATAACTATTAATATAAATACATATGAATATTCCCATACCTTTGCAGTTTCTTTTTCCGTTTTAATGCTAATAGTATTTAGTTTTTGTTTAGTTCAATAATTTCTATTGTAGACGTCTAGCCAATAATTATTAATTCTTTAAAAAACTGCAGGTTATCATGACAACAATATTAAAAGTAAAATATGATAACAATATAAAAAGTAAAAACAGTAACTAATAAATTTAGCAAAATTTCATCAGTTGATCATTAGTTTAAAATAGAGATAAGTGTTGCGGACAAATTCTTATTTTAACTGGACAAATTTTTATTTCCAATCACTTGGCCTTAAAATGAAAAGGACAATTGGTTAACAATTGAGTCCTCAACCAAACCATCTTCATTTGACGGCTCAAAACAATCTTAAACTACATCTTATTTCCTGTACTGTATTATTTTTTCCATCTCAATCTTCACGGTTTAATTATCTTGACAACAACAAAGTTTAGCATGTTTTATCTACATCATAGACAACAAAAATCAGAGATTAAAGGGAATCATAATCGATACAAACTCATGGTTTTACACCATGTTACCTCATGGTTTTACACATGTTTTACACCATGTTACATTTTAAATTACTATTGATATAACACATTTGTTATTAGCTTCTGGTCGAACAAACAACATGCAAAACTCAACAGGGACACAAAAATTCAAATCCGTCTTACTTATTTCAAAATTTTCTCTTCACATGCGCATGTTACTCTACATTTTTTGTCAATATGAGTATAAATGTGGAACTGCCATGGTAATCTCCCCCAAGATATTTAGGATTTTGAAAACTACATCCCACAACTCCCCACCTTTTGAGTTCACACACCAAATATCTGCATCCTCAACTGGAACACATTTTATTTATCTATATGTTTTTAGTTTCATTTTATATTTTCAAATCTTCATTCTAGCACACAAAACATACTAATAATAATAAAAAATATAAATCAAACAACTAATCAGAAAAAATAAAACATACATACAATTAACAATATTTTACAGTTCCACACATAAGTACACACAAGCACCACTATTCTCACGATCTGCTACCAATTTACATATACCGAGAGAATGCAAAACCAATTCCAATACACAATCTAGCAACACTCCCAAGCAAAAATGCCAAAGACAGTTACCATTCGAATTAATACTTTGTTTCAACTAAATATGCACAACATATGGAATCTTGTGTATTGGTTCTGGTGATGGTGATGGTGATGGTGGACAGAAATGCCTTGATCAAGGACATAATCCAACTTACACAAAAGAAGATAGAGGACATCTTTCTTCAACTAAGTAATATAGTGGAAGCAACTATTTCTGTAACAATGAAGCATTACATTTTCTAAACTGTATATTACATTGTCTCAACTGTATAAGTAGTGAGAAGCAATCAACATAAAAACTTAGTGTATGATGCAAACAACATCATCAGTATATACAATAAGAAAGTTGCTTTAACTAAATTCAGAAAGAAGAGAAACAAAAACAGATGTTACGAACACCATCTCCAATCAAATATTGACACCATCTCCAATCATTATCGATAAAATTGGTAATTAAAAAAAACATATTTCAGTGAACATCAAACTAAAAGATGATCAATAAAATATGATGACAAAACATACCCAAGTAATTGCATCAGCTTGGGCTTTAAAGGCCCGTAAAACGGATCCACCTCTTGGAATTCTATTTTGATGGGATGGCGGAAGATCATCATCAGCTCCTGCAATAAATCCAAAAAATCATCTTAAATTAATCTACAACAATTGGTTATGACTTCTACCATTGAAACGTATTCACAACTTAGAGAAAAACAACCTCCTATACTACAAAAGCTAGAGGTTGCTAAAAATTAATTTCCAATATTCAGAAATGTGAACTCATGCAATCACAATTCACTTACATAAGGTATAAACAGTGAAAATAATTGAAATTACAACAAAACAGAAAAACATTAACTTGACAGAAATAGAAATTTAGCAAATGAAAGCTGTGAAACTAACCACAAAACATAATTAGTCATACTTCCACTAATTAATCATACAATAATAAGAAGACAAAACATAATCCACTCAGTAGTAAATGGAACGATCAAGAACTTTTACCTCTTCCTGTTAAAATTTAAGATAACTGGAATTGAAGATTGTAGGAGAATGAGAGCAACGAATGACAACAGGAGAAGTGGGTGCACCCCCAACCAACCTTAACTTAAAATCAATTGAATATATCAACAATTAGACATATGATTTTATAAACAACCAGATGATTAATGAAAAAAATCAAGATTCAAGAAAGGTGAAGTAATTATCGATTTACTTGAATGGAGTTTGGAGAATATCAATAATCAATAACGCATAGATAAATCTGGTGACGGTACCAAATCAGAAACATTAAACCTCCAGAATGCGAGTTTCTTGTTCAGGCTTCTTCAATTCAACCAAAACAAGAGTTGATTAATAAGAAATGTTAGAGAAAATATATAATCCTAATCATGTAGAAAAGATATAAAAAGAATAAGATATTGATCTCACTTACAGAGGTAGTGGTGATGGCAAAAAAGTTTTCTTCTTCATCAACCTTGTGTCTCCAGATCTACAGAAAACATAAGGGTCTGTTGATTAGGTTTACTAACCAAAGTAATTTTCAATTTACTAAAAACCTCATGCAATCAGACATCAAACTGTTCTATAGAAATTGGTCAGTTTTGATTATTGGGATCTATTCGTTTATCCCTAAAAATCAAATAAATTCATACAAATTTTTAACCTGATTGTTCCCTATTCAAAATCAGAGCAGCACAACCAATGCAGAAGAATCAATTCTACAACTATGCAGCATTTCAAGAAATGTTTTTTTTTCAAGTGTGCAAGAGCAAAAATCTCATGTACTTGTATTGCTGCACCAACTAATACTCTAGAATTAATGTTTTTCTTATCAAAATAAGTGATTGGTTTGATATAATAAGAGTGTAAACACCAAAGGGTCTAAGAAGTTGGGGAGATAATTTAGTTTAAAGCATTTGCTACAGATTATTGTTTGACATCAGGTATGTCGATACATCTGAATCATTTCAAACATATAAATATTATAAATGCATCATTTTTAATGAAGCTAAATTATAATCTTCTTTGTCGTTGTGTTACAGGTCTCAATATGTGAGAATTAGGTCAAATAGAAAAAAGATTGGAAAAACATACCAGGTAAATGTCAATAAAAACTGAGGAATGAAGGAGAGAGATGAATCAGAAATTGATGGCTTAGCATTGTCCTTGTCCTCACCTCTTCCCTGGTGGTGACGGTTAGAGTTGTGGAGACTGTTAGGGTTTCTCGTCATAACATAACGTAGAAGAGGGGCAAGAGAAGGGGTGGCAATGGCAGTAGCTAGATAGGGTTTCAAAATTTGGATCTTCATTAGACACAGGTGCGATTGGGATTTTGAGAAGAGAAACAGATGTAAAGAAAAGTAGAGTTGTAGGGCGTCGATCATCCAGGTTAGAAGGAATCATCCAGGTTAGGAGGTCGAGCATTTTAGTGAGCGACGATTGTGATACCGGAGGTACACCGGAAACTGAAGTGAGTTAGAAGAGAGGCGATAGAGGGGGTGGGTTTGACGGCGTCAAATGTTGTGTCGAGGCTAGGGTTTAGTGTTTACAACGTAGAGATAGACGTACGCTTTCATTGTAAGCTAATAAGATTGTACATTATCTTGTAAAAAGTATACTTCTTAAATTTCAAGAAAAAGGTAATATGTTTAATAATATAGTAAATATATTTTGCATATTCTGGATTTTGGAAGATGTTACTGTCAAAGGGTATTTTGGGAATAGAAGAGCATTATAGGAAAATCACGTGTAAAGTTTTTTTTTTATTCAGAAAGTTAAAATATTATATAGTTAGGAATAGTTTGGTTTGGTTGCAACAAAGTCTAATTTTAAGGGCATATTTGTCTTTTAATATTATTGTGGTTACAGAAATAGAAGGAATGCCTAGTCTGGAATATGTCAAAGTTTTCTGAAAAAGGATAGTTTGAGAATAAAAGAAAAATACAATAATGTTGCGCATTTCTTTGTAAATTTAGCTTTTATTGAGTTGTTTTGGTATTAGAATTTCTCTATTTGTTTATGAAATTAACAATCTCAAATTCTCAATAAGTTTAGTTTGGTTTGGTTGCAGCAAAGTTTGATTTTAAGGGTATATTCGTCTTAAAATATTAGTGTGGTTATACAAAAGTGACTGCATATTCTGGATTTTGGAAGATTTTACTATCAAAGGGTATTTTGGGAATAGAAGAACATTATAGGAAAATCATGTGTTAAGTTTTTTTATCCAGAAAGTTAAAATATTATATAGTTGGAATAGTTTGGTTTTGTTGCAGCAAAGTATAATTTTAAGGACATATTATCTTTTAATATGATTGTGGTTATAGAAATAGAAGGAATGCATGTATGTCAAAGTTTTCTGAAAAAGGGTAAAGTTTCTTTGTAAAAACAATCCATTTCACAATATATAGTATATATATATAGTATGTCAAATACATATAATCAATCAAATGCTAAATAAATGTAATACATTAATTTTTCCATTATATCATATCAATTCCCCTAAGAAACACCATCCAATTAAGACATATGTCCTTACGTGCGTTTGGATCGCTCCAAAAGTCCACAACATGACTCGGATTTCCAACACCAAAATTGATAAGGAAACTGAAGCTTGGAATCGAATTTGTAGCAGAATAACACAAAGAACAAGAACAAAAGACAAGAAACAAAACAAAAGGGATAGATGTAAAGATTAAACTAGACCTATAGCTTAAAACTTCGGTGAAAACAAATGAAGACCTATTGATTTGAGTTCGGTGAAAACAAGTCAAGACTTAGGAAACACGTCCCAACAAAGACCAATTTTGAATTATACGCAACAACTCTAATGATCAACAACAGTTCAAATTTTCATACATTCGACAGAACACTCTCACAAATGATAGACATGGCTATATATAGCCTTACAATCTAACGGTAGAACTAATCAAATGTCACTCTAATAACTAGGCTAATTAATGGCTTTATTAAATGCTAATTTTATAAGAATAAATAAATGTTGGAAGTCGGTCTTGAAAAATAACATCTTGGGAAGTGGAAAAGGTGGCTACAACTTCCAAGGTGTCATGGAAAGCTACACGTGTAAAATAGCACCGAGTCCTAAAGCTATTCGCAACCAATAGACACCCTTCGCTTTCCAGCAGCCTCGCATCCAAGTTCCTTGGGAGAGCCACTCATTCGCATCTAAGAAACTCATCGTATCCAAATGTCCTATTGGTACCGAGTAGTCAATCGGAGCCAATGTGGAAATCGGAATGAACACCAAGTAAACCATTAGAACCAATCCATGTATGCGTCGAGGATAAATGCATGAAAGTCCTATTTGCAATCGCATCCAGCTTGCACCGAGATTCGCAACAGAGCATACTCTGAGGTTCGCAACAGATCACAATCGCAATCGCAACTAGGTTGGAACTTGAGGTCACATTCGCAACCAAGTTGTTCGCATCCAATGATCCTCCGAGGTTTGTAACCGTTCACAAGAGACTGCGACGCCTTACGAACGTTCGCACCCGTTCACAATCAACACCCGGTCCGGACTTCATCCATTCGCATTCGCATCTAAAAACAATGGCTTGCAACTCATTGCGACCATTCACATCCAGTTGCAACCAGCCACAACTAGGACTTGGACTCAGAACTTGGCTCACTTCGGAATGGGAACTCAAATTCGTATCAATAATGCCTCGCCATCCATTGCTTTGTTCCGATTTTGGAACTAATTCCTTCACTTCCCTTTAAAATTTACCATCAGACCCAATTGAGTTCGAATTGAAAATAGACATCGGAGTATCGCCATCCAAATTCGCATCATGTTTAGACCCATTTGCCCAAAACAAATGCAACAAATTCCCATATATTCCTTTCAATACAAGCCCCTTAAAATTACTATTGATATGGAAACTTGAATTAGGGAACCACCTTTGCCTCCCGTATTTTGTTACTTCTTTCAACTCTTCATAACACGTAACCTGCACATGTAAATAAATATATAAGTGTCTTGTAGATTGATTATTGGTATAGGAGGCAAAACTTTCTACTTCGATTATCTCATCATCTAACATGTATACATCACTATATACAATCTCCTCCCACCAGTCGCGAGCTCCATCCCTCAGAAGGCAGGATGTAAATCCCACCTTCGACCCCTCGGGGCAGAAGCTCATCGCTGAGCATTATTCATGTCATCGATCCACCTACGACTAGCAATGGGGCCCTTCTTCCCGAAGAACTTTGGGGCTCTACAATCCTTGAACTCTAGGAAAGAGAGAGTTCGAGCCCTCAGCTGACTTGCCGCGATCTCGGCACGAAAAGCCCCTGAACGCTCATCCAACAGCTCCATGATCCCCTCCTTGATGGTACCGAAAATCATAGGGGTGGCCTCCATAATTCCATTAGTAATCTCCGATGAGATGAACTCGCGCATCTTCTCATCAATTAGTTCTGCACCAGAGCCATAGCCAGAACCATACATAACGTCCTCCTCGAGTGGTCACCATATTGAAATACAAACATATAATGATCAGAAACATATACTCGAGGGATCTCTCACACCTAAAGCTCCTTAGAATCTCTGAGATAATCCTTGACTCTAGTACAGATCTTGTGCTTTCAGTAATACATGTCCGATACTACATTCCACACCTATCTGTAATTTCCTCATGGATCATGCCAAATCTTCTAAGTCACTCCACTAAGGCAAATCATACTACTTTATGATAGCCAGCATACACAACTCGCTGAAATATTTCCTAAACTCTCTTAGGAATCTTCATCTCACTTGCTCCTACACTAAAAGGAACCTCTACCAAAACTGTCGGTTGCCTTATGCATGCAAATTATACATAAAATGGGATCACATTGTGACATAGATTGTCGAATAAATGATTCTACCCTGAGCCCACAACCAGACAAGGAACAGGAAATAAGGTCAAACCAATAATTCTAGGGCTATATGATCCTAATCGTATATAATTTTTAAAACATACACTTAGAAATTAACTGACCCAATATAAATCCCGAGTAATACATAGCATCCAATCTCCCTAGGGTATAAGGCATCACACAAATCAGGTAATTTTAGCATACGATTCCTGAAGGTATCCTTAGCCCTACTATAGCATGTAAATTCACATATCAGTCATACTAGTCATAATACTTAAGTATGGATATTTTGGGAATCATTTACTTGAGCTCGACTGATTACACGCATCACACCCCTTTTCTTTGTAAAAATCTTTTTAGAAAACTCATTTTTCTTTGAAAAGATTATCAACCCCCCGGTTGGAGTTCTGACACACCGAAAGTGTGCCCGAATCCCTCAAACCAAGGTTCTGATACCGACTTGTAACATCCCAAAAACAATGGTAAATTTTTTATTTTTCAAACACCCAAAATACAACCAATTTGTTCCAAATCAACCATAGTATAAAATATTCACAGCATTAGAGTGAAATCAAATTTCAATGCGGAATAAAACCAAAGGGATGTTGTACGATCATGACGGGCCCTTCCCTTTCGAGCTGGAAGTACCTGAAAATTTTAAACTACAAAACCGTAAGCACAAAGCTTAGTGAGTTCCCCAAAATACCACATAGCATACATACATTTCTATGGGCTACCCCCATGGTCTTGCATACAAGTGTTATGGGCTACCCCCATGGTCTTTCATACCATTGCCATGGGCTGCCCCCATGGTCTTCCCTTACAGTGCCTTAGCTACCCCAAGGTCTTACACACAAGTTTCATAGGCTACCTTCATGGGTCGGCATTGGTGCCTTCAACCCACGAGTACAGTGAGAAGACTCACCTCAATCGGTAGACAAACAAATCTCACACTCGAGCTGTCGAAACTGAAACTCCCCACACTAATTAATACAACATAAGACCCTAATTAGAAATCAAAATAATAATTCACACTCAATGGTCTTAGCCCATAATCACTCTCTCTTTCTGGATAAAAGACCATTTTACCCTTTCATAGCTAGAATCCATCCTACTTGACCTATAACCCATCTTGACCAAAAATCCACTTTTGGGGCTACACCATGCGTACCATGCTCTACGGCCATCGTAGAGCCTTCGGATGGAAACGGGACAAAATCAGGCTACACCTCAAGATTACGCCTCGCGTAATTGCTCTATTTTGCCAACTTCTTATTAAGTCCTTAATACACAAGGACCAAATGTCCAAATCTCATATCTGGTCCCAAGGAACATCCTAAGTGATAAAGTCTCAGACTTTATGCTTTTACATGGCTTAATGGAGCATAATACCAAACCCTAAGTCCAAAACACACTTCAATGTCCA